AAAGAAATAACGCGTGCCCCCGAGCATGCAAATCGTTTGTGCGTTTGCTGATGCTGCGGGACGCAGCTCATCTGTGTTGTGCTCACGTTGTATGCAGCTGCTCCGTGTAAACGCTCGGGGAGCGGGTGCATGTATGAGCCGACGTGCCCTGAAGAGTCGTGTGTGCGCAACCTCATTCATGCGACGCCTTAAGCGAGGATTGCTGCGGGAGCGCGTGTTTGACGCTGGTGCGGTCAGGAAGCAGCGCGTGGCATCGGTGGGGTGAGGTTACCACTGGGCTCGGTCTGTAGAACAAGTTCATTCTTGGCTGCGAATCACGTGAGCTTTTGAGTGATTCCACGAGCTGCAGTATTAATTCAGAAAACCTTCTTCGAGGATGAAGGAGCGGAGCCGCTGTGAGGCTTGTGAAACTGCAGACGCCGTGGGAGCGCGCGTTTGACACCACTGCGATGAAAACGTGTGTCGCTCCTGCCGAGAGCGAGATATGTTACTGGGCTCGTACCGCGCTCTCACGTTTACGTTGACGTGAATGGCGGGCGCTGAGAGCTGCGTGCGCACTTTCATAACACAGCGCCTTATAGGTGAAGGCTGCTCGTGCCGCGGGAGCGCGTGTTGGCACCGCTGGCAGTGAATGAAAACAACCTTAAAAGGCTCATTCGTGATGAGTGTGTGTGATGGGGCCGCTGTCAGATCATCCGTGCTGACAGCCTGGCTAAAAGACACTTCATCATAAAATCATGTTTATTTCACATCATGTCATCAACACACCTCCAGCAAACCGACACCTGGTTATCTTCCCCTGAGCTCTGTTTGTTGTCCTAGAGGGCCCCCTGTTGGCGGAGTCCGGGAAAAATTGAACTTCCGGATGCCGAGGACGTCTGACGGGAGGGACTGGCGTAGCAAAGCTGGGGAGGCGTTGTGCAGCCGTGGAGCATCTTGAAATGATCTCTCGCTGATGAAAGGCCCTCCAACAAAAAGCTTCTGTAGCTTCTTCTGAGAGGAAGCTCGAGTGATGAGCCAGGAGAACCTCTGGGACCTCATTCTCCGGCCGCGATGCGGGGCGGCAGACAGCAAAAGAGGCGCACCGGTTGGGGATGACGTCAGCTGCCCTACAGACGGAGCCAGAGCTCTGGACGGAGTGTACTACAGAGGCCAACGGCGCCGTTAGCGAACAGCCATGACGAGAGCGGAGCTAGCCGAAGGTCAGAGAGCCCACCGTCTCTTCCCGCCTCTGAACGTGTACGCCAACAGAGTAACGTGTTATTCGCTGCGGCCGTCTGGAACGCATGCTGGTGAGCTCAGTTGGAGAGCGGTGTCACCGTCTGGGTTACGCTAACCAGAGGCACGAGACGCTGGTCCACCTGGACATCTTGCTCCGATGAAGCCTCCGTCAGGCTCGGCTCCAGGGGGCACTGAGGGAATTTCCGCTCGGTGAACCCCTGCTCTGGAGATGGGTGCGGACTGTGGAGACCGGCCCCCCAATTTACCAGGAAAACCGGCTGTGGCCTCGCCCGTAGGACGTCCTGTTGGGAAAATGAGGCCAGATGGATCAAGACGGTGAGCCGGAATGGAACCTAGAAAAAAAACACCTTCCCGCCGGATCATCTGAACTGGCAGGAAAGGCGTGGGACGTAAAAAAGGGTCCCTTCATGCCAGCGGCTCCTGGATTATGCCGGGCAACGCCAGAGGGCGCCGTCAGCCGGGAGCGGTGTGATCGCCAATGCGAAACGAGGTGGGATGAGGTGAGCATTCGCTCAGCCCCCCTCCACCGACACTATGCTCTCCAGGAGAGAATGAGTAGCGGGGGGCTGCAGCTGAGTGCCGCCTGTCCCGGAGGAACCATCCGATTCGCTCCGAGGGTCGGCGATAAGAGGAAAATTACAAGATGGCGTTGTCCAGCGTGTAGCGACCTGTCACTGAGAAATACTCCTCGGCACTTACCTTGAAACAAGACTGCTCGTCAGCTTTTCCTCGGGGAGGAGAGCTCACCGAGATGACCGGAGGTCGACGTGACGGGCCAAGCATTCTTAACAAAGGTTGGTCATCTACACAACTTTCCTTCTTCGTTCTTCTGACAGTGTTATTAGCTTGCTGAAGAAAAAATGGGAGCCGATTTCCCGCTCTTAACGTAATTTATACGGACCGGGTGGGGCCCACACAGCAGGTGGGCGTGGACTAAATTTTTCAGTGCAATGCTTCGCATATCGGGATAAACCCATCAGCGACAGCCTTAAAGGGCAAAGCCTATACGAAATAGAACTAATTTATTCGGTTACCCACCATGTTGTCCCCCCCATCACTGTCAGACGCAGCCTGGGACAGAGGTGAGACGAAACATCACGTTTAAATACAGTTTTATAATCCTTGCTGCTCTGCTGAGGTTACGTAAAGTTTCTCTTCAGATGTTCGTGTTGCTCACAGAAACAACTGATTTATCAATATAAAACAATAATAAATCAAAGTAAACTAAATCAACCACTAGGGAGCACCAGCCAGTGTATCTCTGGTTCTGGTCCCAAGCCCGGGTAAATGGTGAGGGTTGAGTCAGGAAGGACATCTGATGCAAAAGACTTTTGCTAAAACTAACATGCAAGTTCATCTAAGAGACAGTGGATCAGTCGAGGCCCGAGTTAACAATGACCACCACCGGTGCTGTTGACAAACAGGGTGTCAGCAGAATTGTGCTACTGTTAGGTGAAAACCACGAGGAGGGAAACATGTCAGGAGACAGAGAAGAAGAGGAAAGTGAAGAATGTAGGACTGAGGGTTGCAACTCTAAATGTGAGGACAATGACAGGCAAAGGTAGAGAGCTGGCTGACATGATGCTGAGAAGGAAGGTAGATGTTCTGTGTGTTCAAGAGACCAAGTGGAAGGGCAGCAAGGCTCGCAGCATTGGAGCAGGGTTCAAACTGTTTTACCATGGTGTGGATAGAAAGAGAAATGGAGTAGGGGTGGTCCTGAAGGAGGAGTTGGTAAAGAATGTAGTAGAGGTGAAAAGAGTGTCAGATAGGGTGATGTGTCTGAAGGTAGAAGTAGAAGGTCTGATGCTAAATGTTGTCAGTGGTTATGCTCCACAGGTTGGATGTGATGAGGAGGAGAAAGATACATTTTGTAAAGATCTGGATGAAGTGATAGAGAGTATTCCCAGGGAGGAGAGGGTGGCGATGGGAGCAGACCTGAATGGACATGTTGGTGAAGGAAACAGAGGATGAGGAAGTGATGGGTAGGTTTGGTGTCAAGGAAAGAACCAGGAAGGACAGATGGTGGTGGATTTTACCAAGAGAATGGAAATGGCCGTAGTCAGCACTTATTTCCAAAAGAGGGAGGAGCATAGAGTGACCTATAGGAGTGGAGGAAGGAGTACGCAGGTCGACTACATTCTGTGTAGAAGAGGAAACCTGAGGGAGATTGGAGACTGTAAGGTTGTGGCATGTGAAGTGACGGAGACTTCAGCCAACAGAAGGTGTGTTACAGGTGAAGTGACGTTCAGCTAGAACAAATCTAATGTTTAGTTTTGAAGGCAGCAGCAGAGCCGTCAGAATGGTCTTAGACTGGAAACAATAAAGACGTTGGTGTTACCTCCTCATCAGATGCCTCCGGCTCCTCCTCATTCTCCAGCTTTTAGGTAAAAAACAACGTGTTAAACCACAAAAGCAAAACTTTTTTAATGAGAGGGGGAAACGGGTGTTTCAGGAGGAGGAAGAGGAGTTTTAACAGGCCACACATCTACAAACACAGCAGGGAGTCAAAGAGGACAAGCTGGAGTTTGATATGGATCCACTCTGGCTGAGAGGGGAAGGAAGGAGAAAGAAATGCTCACATACCCTCTCCTCCTCAGCTGTTATCTGTCCCAAAACACAAACACACATATTCTTACCATCTGCTGACACAACACGAAGGATGATCAGATGTTTGTCTCTTAGCAAAATAACTTACGGACACTGAACAAATTGAAATTAACCTTTTAGAAAACAAACGCTGCATGTGCACTACAAGTCATGTTTTTGAAGGATTGGACCCAGGACAGAGCAAAAAAACCCACAAAAAACTATTTTAAGATTCAAGAACCAAGAAAGAAAAAGTTGATGTGGCAGAAAAACAAACGGACAAAACGACTCGATAAGGACACGGAGGAGACCAGACATGGTACGAGAACGCACATCGGTGCTCGACTGAGGATGTAGTGAAACCTGAATAAACACACAGACTGAAGCTGACGAGCAGAGTGTCTGCAGCTGTGACTGAAGGAACAGGGGACAGGTGGAGGTGGGCGGGGCCAGCTGACTGACAGAGCAGTGACACAGAGGAAACACAAGAATCACAAACAAAGAAACAAACGGGAAGTTCCCCTACAAATAATCAACAAGTCCCAGACCTTGACCCTCCAACATCTAGTCCCAGACCCTGACACTCCAACATCTAGTCCCAGACCCTGACCCTCCAACATCTGGACATCTCCAACATTCTGTATTAATTCATTTCTTTTCATCTGGAACATCCTTTTCTATAAAAATCTGACCTTTGGTCTGTGTCAGAGTTTACTTTTGTAAACGTGCGGCTGTGGCTGAGTGGTTAGAGTAGTCGTCCTCCAATGAAGGAGTTGGGGGTTTGAATCCACCAGCAGTCATATGTTGAAGTGTCCCTGGGCAAGACACTGACCCTCTCGTTGCCTCTGATGTGTCCCATCAGTGCATGAATGTGATAAAGCTCTGATTAGTCTTTGTAGAGACAGAGAGCTGTATGAACGGCTGAATGAGGCACAGATTGTTGTAAAGAGCTCTGAGTTTCTGGATCAGACAGAAAGGAGCTGTGTAAGTTCAGTCCATTTTGTTTCCACTCACACAGAAAAAACCTTCATTTGACAAGAGTCCACCGGAAAAGCAGACTTTTTTGGAGCAATTCGAGTTTTGTGAGACAGAAAACAATTCTGACTCCAGTCCGAGGGAATTCCTGTGTAAACTCACAGATGTTCCAGCTGTGGATGTGTGAGAACACTCACCTGTTTGGCTCCCATCGACTCGAACATCTTCTCCAACAGAACCCTCATCTGCTGGATGTTGTTCATTAGAACACACGGCTGAAAGAGGAAGCAGGCCAGAACAGAACTTCAGGGAGTTCAGATGAAAGAAGACAACGTCACCAACATGAAGGTTTCACAGCAGAAGAGTTTCAGGGGCACCGTGGAGGAACTCACCGTCTTCTCCTTCTCACAGTACGTTGGAAAGCTCTTGCTCAGAATGGCACAATACTGCAGCAGAACTTTGGTGATGGTCTGTGGAGACAAGGTGGGTCATGAGAGCTCTGAGAACATCAGGAACAGAACCGAGAAACATTTAGACACACGAGGACACGGCGTTTTAAAATGGCCAACAAATGTTCCCGTTATGATGCCTTCAAAGCCACGACCAAGACTTTTCTTCATCTGTTGACTCCATGTGGCTCCTGAAGGACAGAGCAAGACATGTATACACGGATCAGTACCTCATCCTCAACAACAAGGGCGTTGCTTTGGTCCGTCATGGTGAAGAAAGAGTTGAGTCTTAAGGCAAAGCTCTAGATTTACTGGTCTGTCTACGTTCCAACCCTCAGCTGTAGTACTAAGGTCTGGATCATGACCGAAAGAACCAGATCCTGGATCCAAGCAGATGAAATGGGTTTCCTTCGTGGGGTGGGGGAGCTCAGCCTTAGAGGTCAGGTCATCTGGGATTGGACACCTTGTTAGAGACTTGAGACTCATAAGAGACCTCATCATTCTGAGAGCTCGGAGAAGAGCTGCTGCTCCTCTGCATGAACAGGAGTCAGCTGAGGAGGTTCATCTGAGCAGGACGCCTCCTGGACACCTCCCTGGGGAGGCTTTCTGGGCATCTCTCACTGGAACAGGCTCTGGGCCAAATGCAGCTCTCTTTAGAGCAGTGGTTCTCAAACTGGGGTCCCCAGACCCCCGCGGGTCCGCGAGCTGGTGCTTGGGGGTCCGCAGCAACAAAAAAAATAAAATATATATATTACTTTACAAGCACGTAGATATTCAACAACCTGTTAAAATACACCAAAATCCAGGAAATCACATCAACTTTATTCAAAAATTTTCTGGGGGGGGACCCCC